TTGGAATAGCTGAACTGGACAGGAATGGTGTAATTTAACTAAGAAGGAAAAAATGAATCAGAGTAGTTCAGTTTCATCATTTGTAAAGAAAAGCCACAAAGGAGTTTTCCTTTTTAGTGTACCTGAGGGGACATTCTGGGAGCACTGTACAATACCAAGCTGATACTTAGGACAGGTCCATTTTCCCACTACTCAGTAGTATGTGCTCACATTATTAAATTGAATAGGATGGAGCTCTTAAATCAGTTTTAACTGAGTATTTGATTAACTTGAGATTTTTTTCAGCTCTGAAAAGTTCTCTTCATTTATAATCAAAGGTGACTGATAACAGCATGGTATTTTTAATATGTACTCAAGTAGTCTGCTCTGGCAGACTTTTTGTGCTACAGATTCTGTATATTATTCCACCACAGTAAAGCAAAGTGAACTCCCGCCCTTGATACAACCCCAACAGGGAATTTCCATCTTAGATTCCTCTGCATGTTGTATTGGTTTTGCTGTTAATCTCACAGGATAAACACATATCAGTGTTTCAGATTCTGTACTCATGTTTTCTCCAGTCAAAACCAGAAATAGGAACCTCTGGGGAAAAAACTGGTAAATAGGTTCATTTGTTTAACACAAATTTCACCTCAACCCTCAAGGAATGTAACTGCCATAAACCAGAAGGCTCATCAGTGATAGAAGTTGTGTTGCAAGTGGTGGTGTTTCAACAAAGTACTTATTAAGGGCTTTACAGTGGTAATAAGCACTTATAACAAGCTGATAAATACTCAATGACTAAAGGTCATTTTATTTAAAAAAGGATTCCTCCTTGTTTATACTTCAAGTAATAGCTTTGAAATGGTTACAGAGATTAAACACTGCACTCCCCAGACACACATTCAGTTGTGCAGGATCACGTGTCCCGTAAATGAGCTTGTTGAAACAGCTGGTATTTCCTCGTAACACACTGCTACAAGTAGCAAAAACATTTCATTCTAATGCACTGAATTTATGCACTCACTTATAGCTCTCAACTTCAATGAACAAAGAATACTTTGTATATACATATGTAAAGGCTGCATCTAAATAAAATTTGGTTCTGTGATCTATATGTACCCTACCTGGTAGACAGAGCACTGGAAAAGCTGGAAGGACTCAGCACTGTCATTTCTCCCAGAGCAGAGCCGTGGCCACTGAAACTGCTGAAAATGTTCCTACCAAAGCCAGTGGTTTTGCAGCAGATGCATAACCTCCATGAACAAACACAGATCATTTACAAGTGCAAATGTTATCATTTCTAACACCTTTTAATTTGCATCAGTCTTTGCAGCCAAATTCCTGATGTGGCTCCACAGGGAAGACCCCTCCATACACCACTGTCTTAGGTTACATTGTAAGATGTAACCAAAATAATGTATTCTATTGCCATCTTCATAAACTGCTAAAAAAGGTGGGGCAGTATTCCTTATCTTTTCCATGACTCATCCCTGACAACTCCCTCAGGGGGGGCTATCTCTGCTAATGGGAAAATGGAGTCTCACTGCATGACTCATAAAATTACATCATCCCATTGTGAGATGCCCTGCCCAGGGGGAGGAACCAGACATTCCTACCTGGATACAATCTGAGGCTTGGAACACCACAGGGGCACTACCACTGGATTCCCAGCGAACAAGAGCTCGACACTCACTCCTGGACCTCAAGAGAGAAAGACCAGATTGTTCTACAGGATCACTGTTTTGACAAAACCACATCCATCACTCCAACAGGACTGTAGCCACCGTTTAATCAGACTGTTACCACCACCTGACTGACAGGGTGTCAGGTTGTATTCTGACTGTCAGTTTAAGCCAGTGTTTCTGTACTATTGCCTTTATTTTAATTTTCCTATGAAATTGTAGTTCTGCCTTGGAATGTTCCACTGGTTTGTTTTCAAACTAGTACAACCAATGCTCACTGTGAGGTGGGCACACCCAGCCTGGTCCAGCACCAGGACATGGAACAGCAGGAGATGGGTCAGGCAGTCCTGTTTATCAAACAAGCCCAGCAACACCTGTGCTGCTGCATCTATACCCTCCTACATCTACACTATCTAACAGGAAGGATTTACCTTGAAACTCTTTCCAAGAGGTCTGAAAATCAAGAGTTAAGCAGGATAGCACATAGAGACTTATTTTGCCCTAGAATGTGAGCTGTTTTTCACAGTGATTCAGCTTCCACAATACATCAAAGGTACACAGATCCTCTGTGGTCCCACTTGGGTAAATCAGTCTGCTGGAAGATTCAGCCTTCCCTCTGCTATTAATTTAGCCAGAGAAAGTAGAAAATAAAATAGCTTATGACAGGCAGGGAAAGCCATGTTTCCTTCATTAATTCTCCAATATTTTTACCTAGAAGCCAATGAAAATTTGGCCACTGACTCATCCATGCATAGTCAGTGTCTCACAAATACGTATTCAAGAAGAAGAAACAGAATGTCCACTAATAATTCAAAAATATTAAAGTCCAAATAGCTAAGGAATAAAACTTCTTCATAAATCCTACCTTCAAGATGTTACATTATTAATTTACTTTTAAGAAATAAATACATCCTAATAGCTCTTGCGAGCCAGTCCGTTAAAAACAGCATAAACCCACAACATAGGCCTAACAAAACACTAAAAGAAGGACATTTCATTTGTTCTTTTTAAGATGTGTAACTTTGCATATCAAAACTGGTCATTTTTAACGACAGATTTCTGTAAATTCTTTACTTGTTTGTAAGACTTCAGCTTGTGCCTTTTCCAGCTACTTAAAACTTCAGCTCACTCCAACTGATTGTTTTCAACTTACTGTCAGTAACCACACTTGTAAATCAAAGAATTTTATTAATGCGTGGCGGTGCTGGCATCACAAAGCTTCTGTGGGGCCCCACCACCCACATAAGCCCCGCTCAGACCAGAGCACACCTTACTATTAGCACTGCCTGTCTTAAAGCCAGCAATCTCAAAAGACGCTTCATTCCTGTAATGGAATTTTGGCTTTTGTGGGAGTTGTTTAAAACAAGAATACAAATACTGTACCAAATGCAAACTACTATTGGTAATAAAAGAAAAAATTGTTGGCTTTACTAGACAAGGGGTTGTGCATATAAAGATGTTTACCCTCACCTCCAACTCCCTTTAGGTCTCATTACAAGCTTAAGGTTTTCATACCAAATAGCAACTTTTCATTATTAATTAATTTAGCCTCTAAAACCTAGATGCATACATGAGTAGACAGAGCTAAAACAAGTATTTTACCTAGTTCCATTGAACTAACAAGTTCCATTAAATGAGTTGATAAAAATAAGGTGCTTTAAACTGCAGTATTAGAAATAAATTTGAAGCAACTTGGATACTGACTGGAAAGCAGGCACAGGTCTACTACCAATCAAGGACTGGAAACAAATTCTGTTGTCAACACCTAAAAATTACTTTTAGTAAGAAAACCAAAGAGATTTAGTGATGGAATTATTGATTACTCTTCATCTGATGGAAGAGCAACAGAATCAATCTTATTGCCCTAAACTTTAGAGCTGGATTAGATTTTTACAACCTTTAAACTGTAAAAAGAACAAGACTTTAGAAATGTGTGAATGGCAGTATCAGAGACAATTTTCAAGATTCCTGTATGCACATGCCATTTGCTTCCCACTTTGATGCTGGTGCATCCTAGGTATGGAGCAGGCCAGGAGGGGGCTGCCATTCTCTCCAACCATGTGTCTGAAGCACCAGAATCAGGACCTGGGAACAGCTCTACAGCCTGGATGTCATCTCTGCCTTTCCATCCTGTTTGCACTGGGTGCCTGAGGATACAGCATGTTCCTACTGCACACACAGCAAAGGCAGTGGGTGCCAGAGGAAGATGCAGCTGTCACGATCATATTTACTGAAAAACCTCTTTGCCCAGGATTCTCCTCCTGGGAAGCTGAGAAGCCTCAGAGAAAAATGAAAACAATAATTATCTGATTTGCTTCTCCTGTGTTTTGCTGCTTTGGAATGTGTTTGGACATTGTTTACCAACAGGTGATTGTTTCATTGGTTTCTGCTGTGAATTGTTTTGACTTAATGACCAATCATGGTCAGGCTGTGTCTGGGCTCTGGAAAGGTGTCATGAGTTTTCATTAGTATCTTTTTAGCCTTCTGTCTGTATCCTTTCTGTATTCTTTAGTATAGTTTAGTATGGTATTCCTTAATATAATATAGATCATAAAATAATAAATTAGCCTTCTAAGAACATGGAGTCAGATTCATCACTCCTTCCTTCGTGGGGGTTCTCAGAAAACACAACAAGGCAGCAAAGCAACCACATGTTCCTCACACACTATTCTGCAAGTGACCTTTTAATAGAAATGAGCAACCTGCAGCCTACAACCCCATCAAAGAACTGGGAAGAGAGGTACAGGAGAAGGAAAGAGGCAGCTCCCCAGATTGCTCCCCACTCCGCTAGGATCCTGGAGCGCAGCTTTGGCAAACAGCATGTTATTACAAATTGAGACAGATGGAAATGTGCTTCCTTGTCAAAGCTGTTATTCCCCAAGAGCAAAGAAATTTTGTTGTCTTAAATGTGCTGTGAGTAGCAGACAGAGAAAGGTCCAGAAATAGAACAAAACTAATAATATAAAACTAGGTTTGGAAGATGAAATTAAAGCTGTCTTTTGCACAGAAATGTATGTGTTTTTCTTAATAGATAAACCCCCTTTTTTCTTTAGTTCCAACAGTATGAGTTACAACAAGTGTTGCACACACTGTCTTACTGAAGACCTAACTAAATTACTAATGTTGGTCATACAGTATTATCAACAGGATAATTTCTGTGATCAAGTCATTTACAAATTCTGGTCTGTACAAAATATTGCATAATATGGGATCCCAAGTTTTTAAAGAACCTTTGAATTCAAACTATGCACAACCCATTCATAAAAGGTTTTTAAAAATTTTAGATACTAACAATAATCTGAATTTAGCTTTGAAAAAAACACAGAATTTTCTGCATGAGTGATTCAAGATTAATTTAATAATGAGCTACATCTTTTATTTTAAAGTCCATTTCACAATAAAGCTCAAGACAAAAATCAACTTCCAATTTCACCAGCAGTATGCTTTTCTAATACTGCTCATTTCTTTCCATGAAAACAAACCCACTCTAGTACCATTCCTTTGTCTACTGAATCTTCACCAGAAAATAAATGCTAATAGCATCTTTTCCATTAAGGAAGAGGATGATAAGCAAACAGAAAGATGTTTTGCCCTGTAGGTGCCAAGATTACAAAACAACCCCAAAACTACAACTCCATATTTTAAAAACGTCAATTTACTTTCCCCAAATTCTTTCAGTCTTCAACATCCATTAGGAAGGAAAAAACAAAAAGGAGAAAAAATAATGCAATTAACATAAAAGTGTGATTATTCCATTTTTCCATTTGTTCTTGCACAGAAAGCCAAACACATCCACTTCAGACAAGTTATAGCATCAGCAGCATCCATTATCTCACGGAAACCACATTCAAGTACAACTGGAAAAAGCAGTTTCAAAATGCTTCCAATACGCATTAAAATATTTTTTAAAATCTTTTAGGTTTTGTATTCTGAGTCTTTAGAAATAGTGATTTTTTTATGAGGTTTGGTAGCCTCGTCCATCAGTTCCTTCAGCTGCCCAATCTGTTCATCACGGAAGTCATTAAGTTTTTCTTCTGTGAGCGGAATTCCATATACAGCTTTTTCTCTCAAGTTTTGTTTGTCCTCATTAATTTGTTGCTGGATCATTGCTGCATAGTTCTAATGAGAAAGAAATATAAAGGTCACAAAACTGAAAAAAGCAAGATTCAGGTCAACTTTTTTAATAGCATTATATGGTAATAACATACTCTTACACGATCTCCTACAACAGCCTATTAATCGACAACAGGTGACTAAAAAAATTAACACTTTTTATAAGAAAGATAACTTATTCAAGCATTTCTAGTATCTACAGTAGTTTTATGTAGCTAGTTTAAAATGCATATATTTACAGATTAATGCCCTATCATATACTACTACTGAAAACAAAACCAAATTTAATTGTAGATCTGATATAAATAATAAAATAATATTTCCTATATAGCAGGATATCAATAGGATACACTTCATAAACTGATACATCCAGAAAAGCATTATTCCCAATTTTCAGCTGAAAGAAACCTTGGCACGACATACTGAATTGTTAATCCAATTACCAGCAAAGTAACTAAAACCACTACTTGAACTGTATGTCTAACAATTCCAGAGAAATGGGTGAGAAGAAATAAAGATATTCACGAGCCTGTGATAAATTTCAAAATTACACCATTTACTAACATAAATACATTAGATTGTTAATGGACCATGTCAAGCCTCACTGAAGTCAGCAGGATCTTACCCCTGTTGCAAAGCTTAACTCATGGCTATTTAAAGAAAACTGACAGCTAAAACAAGCTGGGGCAAACAAAAGTAAATTATTATTTGTACAGACTCTGAATCAAACTGATTGTTCAAGGTTGTTCCCAACATCACCTCTCCTGCTTTTAAATTAAACAGGCATTCAGAAACAGTAACACTATAGTTAATTGCCATGGTAAACTTACACCTCAGTGGTATCACCTCATGGTAGAGCTGCTGTAGGGTTTAAAACAAACTAAATAGGTTTTTTCCCAATGATTGAACAATCACATTGTAATGATAAGATAAAAAATTGTAATGGGTTAATTCTTCAACTTTGCAAATTACAGAATTTCTTGTCAAGGCAGATGGACAAATGTGATCTCTGAAGCGACCCAGCAGACCAGTAACACACATCAACCATTCCACCTCATTCTACTTTATTCTATCTTTGTATTTCTGCACAGAACAATCCAGTCAGTACTGACTCTGGATTAGGAAAAAAAAAAACAACCAAAACCACACCAACAAAAACTAACAAACCCACATAAAAACGTATCAAAACAAAAACCAAAAACCCCACACAAACAAACAAACAAACCTCACACTACTTTCACTATACCAACAACAACATTCACAGCATATAATTCAGACACAATACTGAAAGCAAGCAATGCAAAACTCTTTACATCTTCTCAAGAGATCTGACTGGACACACAAACCTCAAGAATCCTTCTATACAATGTCCCACCAGTGCAGGTTCCACCGAGGGAGGAAAGTCCTTCCCACTGCTAATAACATCCACCTGGGAGCAGCCTGCAGCTATTGCTGCAGGCATGACCTCTGGTACCTGGAAATAACTCAAGTCCATTTAAGAAACAGTTACAATTTTACAAACTGTTGACTGTTTTCCAAAAATATCAAATTAATTACGGGCAAACAGTCAGCAATTTTTTTAATCTAACACCACAGCACCTCATCTCACAGTGCACCAACATTTCAGAACCCAGACCTCGGTAGTGGTGGTCCCCAACAAAGCTGCAGCACCCACTCCCACAGGTGCCCTGCACCCAGACACATGGTCATGGACTGCACATCCCCTGCTCCTCACACCAGGTGTTCTGCTTCACAGCACTCCAGTGGGCTCCCATCTGGCTCTTTTCCCCCACTCATTTTCTAGCTGGACAAATGTTTTGTACATAGCAGAAAGCCTCAGTGGCTGCAGTTTCACATCGATCTGCAAGGTGAACAGAAATTCAGTACTGGACAGCAGAAACATGCTGGGCTCTGGTTGACTCCTGACAGAAAATGGAGCTTTCTCACCTCATTTTACCAAAAGTCAGTGATGCATCAAATAAAATATGCTTTAGCCTTTATAAAAGCCTTTATAAAAGATGAAATAGTGGCATATCTCATTTTTTCTCCCGGTGTTACCAGATAAGGAACAAAGCCTGGAATATTTAACTGTTTAATACATTACTGTTCCCTCAGAAATTAATACTATTATTATGTGATCAGTGATTTGTGGAGAGGTACTGCATGATTTGATGGTACATAATCATTTAATATTCAGCTTCTATCTAGAAAATGTGCCTTTTTCCTAACAGCACATGAACTTAATGTGCTGAACTCCAAGGTTTTGTAACAGGTTTAAAAGCATAATGAAAAAATAAAAAGGGGAGAAGCTAACATTTGCTCTTTCAATAATATAACTTTCATCATAAAATACAATGATCACAGTCCCTCTCAGGTAATAAGGAGCAGTATGGTCATGTAAGGTCTAGTTTTCATTACAACTTAATAAATACAGAATTTAACTATTTTCCACCAGCAGAACTGAAACCAACTCTTGGTTAGCTTCCTCAAACAAGGAAAATTACTTCACTTCTGCCTTTTATTTGATGTTGTATTTAACTGCATCATTCAAATATAACAAAACTCCTTTGTCATCACTCATGACACAAATCCTTAGCAGATTTTTCAAGGGCATCTTATTTCAATTATGGATCACACTGTGCTCACAAACACAGAGACAGAAGACACAAAATGGAACACAAGTAATCCTGCACCCTCGCAGAGCCAGGCTCAACATACACAAGGATGGCAGAGGGACACAGGAGCCCTCCTCCCTGGTGGTTTTCAGGTTGGTTAGTTATTTCTTTGGAAGGAATTCTTACTACAATGATCCTCTGCCTGTTCCAGCTGTAAACTTTCTGTGCTTTGACATGAAAAAAGCAAGCAAAACTCAAACCACTTGCTGAATGGCAAAAGCCTTTCCCCCTTGAATATGACTGCCACTAGAAACAGAGCATTAGAATCAAGTTCAAGTTACAATCACCTCTCCTGACCATTTACCATCAGAAGATGGCTGATTTATTCCATATTAAATCCCAGCCTGCTGCCCATCCATATCACAGGCACCCTCCTCAACTTCAAGGAGGCCCAAGGTAACAGTCCAAGGTGCAGACTGGCCATGTCACAGCACTGCCATCAGGGTGTGCAACCACAGGGACACCCCAAAACCCTCTGTATGGGCAGTGGGGAGGCAGATGCCTCCCCTGGAAGGTCTGATGCACTCCTCACACACAGGTCATGGTTCTGCCTCAGATCACTGGCATCTACAGTATGCATGCTGAACCCAAGCATCAGGCTCTTTTAAAACCCTATATGAGTAAATGCTTGAACCTCTAAATTATTTATACAAAAAACCAGAAGGTGAGTGTTTGCTATAATAGGGGTTTTTTATTTAAATTCACTAACTGAAGCAAATACAGAGTTCCCCTCTGCTCTCTGACTCATGGGCATTCATAGAATGCACAAATTCATTAAAGGGCAAGGGCATGGGTGACATTTGAGGTTTAAAATACCACACACTAGGAAGAGCATCAGCTTTCTTGTCTTCCAAGTTGAGAAAGGATTAAACAGAAAAATAAAAGCAAAAATCCCACAACCAAAAGCCCCACTTCCCTGACTGCCAGATATACAGACTCCTACCAGACCTAGTCCACAATGACACACATTTATCTCATATGCTACTACAAAGTGCTGATAAACATTTATTATTTAATCATAAAATTAAATGAATCAAGAGCCCATTAGTTCATTTTCACTGAAAAGAACAATAATCATAATTTTTCTTTTCTCTGGCATCCTCCTAAACATGTACAATGCTGCATTTTAAGACAACTGCTCCAAAAAATCTCAGTAAGATATGTCTGTTCATAGTAACTACCTGTATAATTCACTTTCTAGTCAGATTTTCTCTTTAAAAAAGTTCTAAAAATTTTATTTCCTTTAAGCAGTTGAAGTATAAAGCTGAAGTATTCATCCATTCAAAAAGACTATCTCCACTTGCAGCCAAATGACAGCACTGATAAAAAACATTACTGTGGCCAGATCAGAAAATGCTACTCTGAGATGTGTTCAGCAGGGCACGGTCAGGCACTAGAAAAATGCTATCAATTTATTTTAAATTTATTTTATTCAGGGTGACATAAAAAAAAGGAAAAAGCATGGCCTGACAAGCCACTGTCATCACTCCCTGGAAGCTAATTTCAAATTGCAGCATTTCAAGTGTTTCTGCTGCTACTCAGAGCAAAATCAAACACATGCTGCGAAGGGTGGCAGCATGAAGAAACAGCTGTGAATGAACAGCACAGCAAGGAGCACCTTGTTCTTATTGTTGTGCAGAGATATGTTGAATTAATCATTTCATATTCATTCAGATAGAATTCTGCAAATTATTTACTATATTTTTTACTGCAAAGCTGTTTTGATGTTAAACTGAGAATCAGAAAAAGATACAGTATTACAGAAGGGGTTTTTTAATGGGCGCTACACCCCATGAAAATCCAGAGTATCTTCTTCATACATTTTACCTGAAGCTGTAGGTATAGTTAGAAATGCAGTAATAAACCCAGGAAAATTCTACCACATTTAAGTTCAGCTTAATACACCACTACAGTGAACATTTTCACACACTCACAAACACATTAACCCATAACAATCTATATTCCACGAGATAAGACCATTAAAATAGCCCTAAACATTTTAAAAATGGCATAAAATACAATTACTGCCAAAGTAATTAATCAATGTGAATAAAAACCTATGTAAAGTCCCACATCCTCTAACAGGAGCAATGTTATTATCAATTTCAAAATTTAAACTATAAATCACTTTTGGTTTTGTAAAGGTCACAGCATTAACAAGTGAAAAAAGAAAAATCAATATACTACAAAGAGTTCTGAGTAAACCTTCCCCCTGCTTTGAAAATACCTATCAAATGGTATTTGAATGATACCAAGTAATGACATATGGCAGCATTAGAAGAGTTTCTTATGTGAATAATTAAAACAGTAATTGCTGGGGAAAGGGCAACA